CACAGGCACCCGCCACAACGCCCGGCTATTTTTTGGTTGCAGCCATCATTGTTGTTTGGCGGGCCTGGGCTGGGGATTCGAACCCGCCAGCTTAGGTGTATGTGGCTGGCGCCTTAGCCGCTTGAGCCAGAGGCGCGAGCCTGGAGACTCACTTTGGGAGAAATCATTAACTTCTTGAACAATGAAAGAAGTATAGAAGAGTGGTCAGATATAAAAACAGACTTCAGGAGGGTCTCTTTTTTTTTTTTTTAAAGCAACTCAACGTAGAGTGGAAAGACTGTCAATGTATGACAAAGTACAATAAAAATACTTGTAAATTCTAAAGAATCGCCCAAATGTAAAGGATTCTTATTTATCCTTAGCACGCCAAGATTTTAGTTTCTGATTCAACACAGGATCAGACTTCCCACCTCATCTTTAATAAGCATTTTTTTAAGCCTAGTGAAGCAGCAGGGATAGAGAAGGAAGAGAAAGAAATTTGTAACTGGTTGTGGTCAATTAGTTTGAACACCACTGCACTTGACCAGTCCATAAACATTTATTTAGGATGCCACTGAAAGTGCAAATCTCCTGCTTACTTGAGTCACCACAAAGAAGGGGTAGTCAGAACTTCCTCCCAGAGTCTCTTCCATCACCTGACTCAATCCTTCCTCCCCCACCTCCCCGCCTAATCAAGGTCCCTGGCCTTCTTGTTGGAGATCAGAAAGCCCCCATATCCTAGTCTCTTCTCAGAAGTTTTCCTCTTGCCACCCACCCTAGCAGGACCTCACTGTCCCCTGCTGCCCTCTCAAGTGAAGGCTGGTCATTCCTTCACAGCCCTCGCCCCTCAGCATGGGCTTTGTGTCTATGCCTCCCTCCTCTTTCTGCTTCCAGACCATCACTCCCCCTGCCTCTTGGAAAACTCTGTTCCCCTAAGGCTTGTGCCACCCTTTTCCCTCAGTACTCAGTCACCTATCCTTGTGGCTCATTCTCATTCCCTGAAACTTAGCCACTGGCTCCTGGTCTCCTTTTCCACCCAGTTCCTCTCATTGCTGTCCATGACTTCAGCACCCTTGTAGCCAGTGCAGCCAACACCCTGCTCCCCAAGCCCTCAGTCTCCCACATTCAAAGCCTTTTTTCTCTCTTCCTCCTCCGATGCCATTGCTGGCTCCTATGGACACACTCTGGGCCTTGTCATCGTCATCACAGAAGCCATTCAACCTGCAAATTCACATACTCATATGCCCAGCTTTTCAGGGTGACTTGCTCAAATACTCCCCAAAGTAGGGCTTTCCCCCCACCCAAGTCCACTCTTGGCCCATAGAGCTCTCCACACTGTGACATCTGCTCCATCTCCCTTCCCCAATACCAAACATGCTGCTGTGCAGAAAGCCTCTGCTATAGAGCTGGCCACAGATGTGAGGCTCTATTTGAAGGCTGAATGTTGATGAAGGTGAGGCAAGAAAGGGAGAAGCAGGACTATGTGACAGGAGCAGGGACAACTGGGGAAGAGAGTGGCAGAGTCCTTGGGGATGAAAATTAGAAGTCAGGGGTGTCTGACACCACTGCCTCATGGAGGTACCAGCCTGGCACACAGATAGGCACCTCCAGAGCTCAGGAGCATACTTACGTGAGCATCATTCCTCACTAATTGGTCAGGCCATTTAAAGAGGTTTGTCTGGCTCAGTGCTCCTGGCTTAGTGGTTAGGGCGCCAGCCACATAGACTGAGGCAGGCGGGGCTCTAACCCAGCCCAAGCCTGCTAAACAATGACAACTGCAAAAAAAAAAATAGGGTGGCACCTGTGGCTCAGTGGGTGGGGCACCGGCCCCATATACCGAGGGTGGCGGGTTCATGCTTGGCCCCAGCCAAACTGCAACAACAACAACAACAACAACAACAAAAAATATAGCCGGGCATTGTGGCAAGCTCCTATAGTCCCAGCTACTTGGGAGGCTGAGGCAAG